GTCCATGGTAACAGTTTTGCTGCCCCTCCACTTGGCATCACTCAGAATCGAGAACTCTATCATATCGTGGTCGCTAAAGCCCAAGACAGCCTCCGACCATGACATCTCCCACAAGCCCTTCTCTGTTAGTAAACAGCAGGTCAAGCGAGGCACCTCCCCTGGTAGGCTCGCTTACCAGCTGCGTCAGAAAGTTATCCTCCACACACTCTAGGAACTTCCGAGACTGCTGCCTCTCTGCTGTGTTGTATTTCCAGCAGATGTCCGGCAAGTTGAAGTCCCCCACGAGAACAAGGGCTAGCAATTGCGAGACTTCTGCCAGCCGCTTGTAGAACGCTTCATCTACCTCTACATCCTGGTTGGGTGGTCTATAGCAGACTCCCAACAGGACATCCTCCTTGCTGGCCGTCCCCCTCATCCTAACCCATAAGCACTCGACCTTGTCATCTCCACTGTCGAGCTCTATACAGTCAAAACACTCCCTAACATACAGAGCTACCCCACCGCCTCTCCTTCCCTGCCTATCTCTTCTGAAGAGCTTATAGCCATCCAGTGCAACACTGCAGTCATGAGAGTTGTCCCACCACGTTTCTGTGATGGTGACTATGTCATAGCCATCCTGCTGCACAAGGGCTTCCAGCTCCTCCTGTTTGTTGCCCATGCTACGTGCATTGGTGCAGATCTTTCTTTAGAGGTGCTGCAGGAGCCGCTTGATGTGGTACGCTTTCTAGAACAGTAGGCAAATACTCTGTGCACTGCCATCTCTGGTAGAAATCTAATTGTTTCTAAGGCATCTTTTTATGGAGGCAAATTACAACACACATGTTGGCAAAGGAGGTATAAATTACATGAGTCCCTTAGGAAGGAAAAAAAACCCAAACCTGAACATTTTACCCACAGTATGTACAAGTCATAAAACATGCTCTATTTCATGTACACTTCAAGTAATTACCAACTTGTTTAAATGCATTCCATTCTATACCACATCTTTGCAAAATTAATGCTTGTTATCAAATAAGTTAAAGTTGAAAACAATTTTTTAAATTACCCCTGTAAAAATGTGCCTAGCACAGTATTTTAATGTAAACATGAAGATCTGTGATAAAGGTTTTGCGCAGTTGCAGCCTCGTAATAAAATGAAGGGCAAAGATGATTAACAGTTTAATTCAGTGCATAGTTAAACTGGTTGGCAAACTTCTCGTGCTTTCTTTGGTCCACTCGGTTCATTGCTTTCACCACCCGTTTCACAGCACCTCTGAAAGAGAAACAAACAAAAAAATAAAAATGGTAACATTGATTCTACACAATCTCAGAGAATGTTTATGAATGTTGGGGGGAAAAAAAATGAACTATGATTAATCACTACCAGGCTTCTGAACACTGCACTGATGAGGCTGAACAAATTTGTCTTGTTAACTAAATTAGCTGCAGCAATACAAATAGTTTAATTCAGCAATTATTTTATTAACAGGAGTAAACAAATTAAAGTGAGTTTAATGGCCGTGCATTCCACCCTCCTAGCATTATTTCCGACAGTCACACATACCGCGTTTGATTTTTCAAAAGCGCCTAACTGCTCTTGGGGTGGGGGGAAATAACTAGAAGTATCTAACAGGATCTAAAAAAACTAACACTTAGAAACCCTTATGAAATCCAACCTGCAGAATCTAGAATGTTTTTGTGAGGGAAGGGCTTGCTGTTCAATTCATGTAACAACTGATTTAGCAGCTTTCCTTTCGCAGGTTACTAAAAACCCATTTCATCAGCTGTGGGCAGAGTAAGACTCTTTTGCTCACACTAGCAGCATCCCCATTCCTGAGCAGCAACTATTTAATCCACAAGCACAACACTAATTTAGGAAAACAGCAGACATTGCCATGTATCTCTATGCAGAGAGATAAATTACTGCTGCAGAACAGCTAAGTGCTCAGAATTGAGCATAATCAAGATAGTATGTCCAATATCTTATATAAAAGTGGAATGGGATCTCTGCTACCTCATGACAGTCAAGCATTTGAGCCCTCTGCAGTGCCTAATGTGCTTGAAAAAGGCTCTCTAGTCTTCTTCAGATTCAAAAAGGAAATAAAGGAATGAACTTTGGAGCTCTTAAGCTTTCTGGTGCTCCTAAATCTGATGAGGGTTTGCCCCCATGTTGCTGCTCTTTACTTGCTGCCACTGTTTCCTCACAGTAAAGACAGTGGCCAGAGATTTCTCCTCTTTTGGGAGTGACTGCTATGCTTCTGAAGTGGGTGAGTGAAGACACCTGCATTTTTCTTCCCTCCACAAACTTTTGAGTGAAGATCACGCAGCTGAGATTTTGACGGCAAGGAAAATGATGCCTAGACAGCATGAATAGGAGCAGGAGATTCTCATAAAAGGTATAAAGAGAGCAAGCCTATAAATCCTTTAACTGGTAAGGCAGAGGAATGGGTTCACGGTTCCAGAGGGGTAAGAAAGCAGAAAGGCAGTAGCAGAAGTCAGGAGAACGCTCCACTGCATACATCTGCCCCTACAGAAACTTACGGTAGCTGCTGTGCACAGCTGAGTGCTTCTTGCCTAGGGAATCTGGCTCTTCACTGGATTCTGGCGTTCCCATTTTTATTGGTTACTTTGGTGCCTCTAGCACAAAAGCTCAGAAATCTGAGGCTGGTATTTGCTGGTGCGTTCAGATGTCACCCTGCCTCTCTTTATGGAGAAACAAGTTATCTCCTAACACACTTCTGTAGAGACCTGGACGCTCTGCCAGCGTGGGAGGTATACCAGCTAAGGGCTTGGTTTGAGGGACCATGTCTCATTTAAGAACAGGGCACTGACTGATTCTCCTTTGATTTCTACATCAGAAAGGCAGACAGCAAGTTCCATCACACAAAGTGGATGGTTTCAAGACTCTATGTTGTCACAGTCTGCCTTTATCACTTCTGAGGATGTTGCAGGCTGTGCAGTAAAAGGAAGACAAGACATCCACCTGGTAGTGTGCACCAGCCTGTTTCAGGATCAGGCCCTACACCCTATTCCAGCTCTGCTGCTGTGGTTATCTCTGAGAGGCAAGTTGACTTCTGTTATAGATAACTGCTCTCTGTAATGGCTTCATTTCAAAAGCCATTTTGGAACATCTGAAAACAGAGGATACTTCTTAATAACGCTTCTAAATGGTGGGATTAAAGATTTTCTCAGCAGCAACTGTAATGAAAACCAACATTCTGAAAAAACACCTTGGAAGAGGTATACTTCTAACAAAATTCTGCCAATAAAGTTACCAGAGTAAGGAAAATGTGGTCATGGTTTTGCACTTCAAATATCGCCTAATTGGTAGGAGAAAAGTGAGCCTTTAGCAGCGCAGAGTGGCCTTGACACTTTCATGTCATGTAGGTTTTACATTAGCACCACTGGATTGTGCGATACTGTAAATGAAATGAGATCCCACTTTGATGATCTGTGTGCAATTTCACTTAACTTTATTGGCAGACTAGAGCCTGGGTTTATCACCTATACATTTCAAGTAATTTGGGGTTGTTATAAGGAGCCAAGGTTATCATCTTGTTTAGTGCTGCAAAGCATGAAACCTATTAAAACATGACAGGTTTGATTCCCTATGCCTGGCACTAACACACCCTCAAAATCATTAGCACAAACCATAGTAAACCAAAACCAGCTTTTAAAATTTATTTTGTTAAAGCTGATATGAAATTCTGATCATTAGAACTGTATGTCTCTGACTTCTAACTAAGATCAGGTAACATGAGGATTTCACAGAAAATGTGCTATTTCTGTAACTAAAAGCAATGTGGATTTGGCTTTATTATAACCATTACATCAGAAAAGGGAAAACAGAGTTTAAACAAATATTGTGCCTTGGATGCTGTTCAACTCCTCCAGTACATTTAGGAATAACCCAGCATTGATGATTTTATAATAATAATTTTGCTTTTTTGATTTGACAGCTTTAGACTTTTCACTTTCTTTTGACTACTTCATTTTTGACATGCGAAACTCTTTAAATAGCTGCAGCTGCTTCCCATTTGATAAAGACCAGAGCATGCTTAGGCAAATTTATGTTGCAGCCACAACTAACCGAGACTAGATATCAGAAACTGCGTAACAGAGCGGACATACGAAGCTACTATAAGTTCTAAAACTCATTCAGCTTGGTGGGTTGGTACGCTCCCACTTCCATCTGAGCTAGCGTGCCTGCTTTAAGGTTAACTCACATATGTCTACAGAAGTCATGGATGTACCTTTGTTTGAAATGTCTAAATGCCAATGCCATCCAAACAGTTTCCTCTCCAGCTAAATGTAGGCCAAGAGCTACTGTTTGCACATGTGATGGGAGGAAAGGGAGACGTATAGAAACAGCACCACTGCGGGAAGAATACTGTGTCCACGTGTCTCTGGTACAGGGAATAATCATCTCTAAACTCTTACACTGAAGAGAAACCTGCAGCAGGTTCCAGTCCTTGATATTTACAAAAGACAGCAGGAGTTAAGTGAACAAGGACCGTAACACAAGGATCTGAATGTTTTTCTTGAGCAATTTAATGCATTCTCAGTAAAGAAGGAGGAAAATGCAATGGCAGTGTGTCACTGAATAATACACAGGAAGGGATCCCCATATGTACATACTGGGCTGGAAGGCACTGCATCAGGCCCAGCTAGCGATTTAGTATACCCAAGAGTGAGAGAAAATACACAGGAAGCCCAGGCAGCAGTCAGAAGTTCAGGAAGGTCTCTGAGCATACACCAGAGGCTTGAGGGCAACCACCAAGACACTGCTACATGCCAAAAGCTAAGGGGTTTTGACAGATCCTTTTATTAATTGAAGTTCTGCTCAGGACAGCCCATCTAGGCTTTCAAAAGGAAAAACTTCATTTTCATTCCATCCACTACAGTGTATCTGATGCTGTAAGTTGTGTCACTCTGAACACAGACCCAGTACTATTTGCACACATGAAGTAGCATCCATCTGATTAACAAATGATCACCCAAAGAAGCCACTACAGCAATTAAAGGAATTAAAAAAAATTGAGAAGGATTAAAAAAAAAATCTTTCATAGGGAAATTTTGTAAATTAGCTGAAAAATCATTCTCAAAGAAATAACCTTGGTCATCAGTACCTGCTACTCTTTACCCTCCAGATGTATGGAAGGCATTCCT